TCTTCTGCTAGTTGGGGTTTAGTCCACTTCTGTGTCCTTCCCTTCAAGGCTCAGGGGTCCAAGATTATCTTCTGTGTCTGTGTTAATTGGTTTGCCTTTTCTTTGTTGAAGAGGGTCTGTGCAGTCCTTCTGCCTAGTCTGCCATCTTGCTGGAACTTCCCCTTCCATCTTCTTTTGATGCTTCCTGCATCATTCAGTATTTTGCCTATAGAATTTTTTAATATTGCAACTTTTAATATCGCAAGACTTACATTTTTTCCTCAATTCTTTCAGCTTGAAAAATGCCGAGCCTGTTCTTCCCTTTTGGTTCTCTAACTCCAGGTCTTTGCACATTTCATTATAATCGTTGGCTTTGTCTGCGCAAGCTGCTCTTTGACATCTTCTGTTCAGCTCTTTTATCTTGTCATTTCCTCCATTTGCTTTAGCTACTCTCTGCTCAAGGGCAAGGTTCAGAGTCTCTTCTGACATCCATTTTGGTCTTTTCTTCCTTTCCTGTATTTTTAATGACCTCTTGCTTTCTTCCTGGATGATGTTCTTGATGTCTTCTGGTTTTCGGTCATTAGTATTCAGTGCATCAGAGCTGTTCTTTAGATGGTCTCTAAATTCAGGAGGGATATATTCAAGGTTGTGTTTTGGCTCTTTTGGCCTTGTTTTAATTGTCTTCAAGTTGAACTTGCATATGATCAGTTGATGGTTGGTCTGTTCCACAGTCAGCTCCTGGCCTTGTTCTGGCTGAAGATATTGACCTTTTCCATCACCTCTTGCTACAGATGCAGTCAATCCAATTCCTGTGTACTCTATTTGGTGAAGTCCACACCTATAGCTGCCATTTGTGTTGTTGAAGAATGGTATTTGCAGTGAATAAGTCACTGGTCTTAAAAATTCTATCATGCGATCTCCAGCCTTATTTCTGTCACCAAGGCCAAATTTTCCAACTGCTGGTGATTCTTCTTCATTTCCAACTTTTGCATTCTAGTCACCAGTGATAATTAATACATCTTGATTGCACTTTCAGTCAATTTCAGACTGCAGAAGTTGGTAAAAGTGGTTGGTGCATAAATTTGAATAATAATAGTATTAACTGGTGTTTCTTGTAGGGGTAATGGATATTATTCTATCACTGACACTATTGTACTTCAGGACTGATCTTGAAACAGTCTTTGTGCTGATGAATGCCACACCATTCGTCTTCCGTTTTCATTCCCGGCATTGTAGATCACATGATAAGGTTGTCTGATTCAAAATGGCCTGATGTAGCCCTTCAAAATACTCCCAGGCTCTTTAAGGTGCCCCCCTCCCCGCCCATAATTTTCATCTCTTTAACTTTCTGTGTGCTGCATTTGGTTAACTAGTTGTCGTATAGTCGATTCCCAAACCCTGTGTGTCATAGTTGAATGGTGCTCCAAAGGGTTTCCAGTCACTGACATTTCAGAAGTAGATTGTCAGGGATTTTTCCCAATGGGTTTCTGTGTGAATCTGAACCTTCAGCCTTTTGGTTAGTAGCGGAGTGTGTTCACCATTTACATCACCCAAGAGACTCAACATTTGGATGTTGTTGTTGTTGTTGTTGTTGTTGTTATGTGCTGTCGAGTCGGCCCCGACTCATAGCGACCCCTCCTTGGGTTTCCGAGGCAGTATCACTACGGAAGTAGGATTGCCCAACCTTCCTTCCGAGGAGTGGCTGGTGGGTTTGAACCGCCAGCCGTCTGGTTAGCAGGCAAGTGTCTTAGCCACTATGCTACCAGAGCTCCCTATAGTAACTTCCAATTCAGTTACTATTTTTTTTCTAGTTATATTAGAGCTAATATTTATCTCAGTCTTTTATATGACTTACATCTAGATTTTAAGGTTGTTTTTTTTTTTTTCTTGTTAGTACTCATTTATTCTGGACACATTGCTGCCTTTTTACTTTATTAATTTTTCTTTTTATGGATGCTGTACCTTTAGCTCTCAGAGGCTCTGCAATATTCTTATTTCAAAGGCCTTTTAAATTATTTGTAATCTAATTTTGAGTTGGAGTTTCGTTTTCTTTTTGTGTGCATTCTTCTCTCACCTGGTGTTTTGTGATTATCTCTCTGCATTGCCCCCTGTGGCTTCATCTTTAGAAGAAGGTTTTATATTAGAATATTGGGTTCTTACTCTGCAGGATTATTAGTAATAATGAAGAACCAGCTTCTGAACCAGTGGGTGGCTTGACCTAGGTACTTGGCTCTTTTCCAATTGCATGACTACATCCTTGGTTGGTGGTCTTGGATTTTAGTGCCATCTATCACAGGTAAGAGAGCTCCACTGAAACCCCTGATTTCACAAAATGAGCCAGACTTTAGTTCCTGCTGCCCATGCTGAGTTCCTTTTGGTCCCCATTATCAGGGTTAGTTTCTTAGGTCCTACCTATGTAACATCATGTCTCTGTTCGCTTATCTTTAAGTGAGAATAATAACTTGGACAGTGGTTGTGAAGTTAAAATGTTATTATATATATGGAAGTGCTTGTAAGTTAAGAAGAATGATCTAAATACTAGGTTATTTTTATTATTGTATAATCATAGTGATTGTGTTACTCCATTTAAATCTGCTTTTGATTTTAGGTTGTTCCATTGGCCTGTCATGTATGGCAGCAGTCACTATATCAAAGCAATAATAGAACACAGATTTCCAATACTAATACGGTCTCTTTGGAAACAACTCAGTGGGGATCTGGAGATGACCAGGTATGTCTTCTGTAACTGGCAAACTATCTCCCTTTGATAAACACACAAGAAATTCTGATTAACTGTGAGAACGAGAAGAGGTGAATTACCCTAATATTTCATTTTTTTAATAGATCTTTGACAAACCTAATTATATAGAACAGCAGTTCAGTTTTTTACCCCCTTCTCAGGACCCCTTTTTAGCCTTTAAAATTATTCTAAATAGTTTTTGTTTATGTAAGTTACATCTATCAATATTTTTCATATTAGAAATTAAAACAAATTTTTAAAAGTTTTAAAATAACAAGCCTATTATATATTAATAAGGAGCTCTGATGACGCAGTGCTTAAGGTATTTGACTGCTAAACACACTAGCCACTATAGGGAAGGAAGACTGGGCAATCTACTTCCGTAAAGATTTACTGCCTCGGAAACCCAAAGAGGGTCGCTAATATATTTTAAAATGAAAAATGACTATTTTTCTGTGATGGAAAAATTATTTGGGAAGAATGGCATTGTTTTATGTTTTTGCATATCTTTTTAATGAACAGAAAATTAATTTTTTAATTAACAGAAAACTGCTGGATCCTTTTTATTTTTAATTGTGCTTTGGATGAAAATTTACAGAGAGCAAATTCACTTTCCATACAGCAGTTCACATACACTTTGTCTTATGAAATTGACCATAATTCACCATGGTACAACAGCTCCCCTCCCACTTCTTCCCGACAGTCACCTCTTTCCTGTGTCCACCCCTCCATGCATCCCTGCTCCCTGAGCTGTCTCCCATGATTGTTCTCTCCAAGGAGTGTTTCTACTTCAGGTACATGTTCAACTCCTCTGCCTGTGTTTTTTTTGGCTGGAAGCCACAGATGTGGCTAGGGGCCATAGTGTCAGTGGTTCCCACAGTCCCTATCAGACCAGCAAACCTGGTGCCCCCCCCCTTTTTTTTCCAAATGATTTTGAGTTTTGTTCTGCATCTCCTCTCTATCCAGGATCTCTTATATAGATCCCCCTCCAAGTGGTTGACAGTGGTAGCCAGGCACCATCTAGTTCTTCTGGTCTCATAGGCT